CTGCCTGAGCCCATGGATTCGAGACCAGCCTGGGTAACATGGTAAGACTTCATCTCTGCAATAAATAAAAAAGAAGCTGGGCCTGGTGGTGCCTGTTTGTACTTCCAGCTACTTGGAATGCTGAGGCGGAAGGATCACCTGAGCCCAGCAAGTCAAGACTGCAGTGGCCATGAGCGTGCCACTGTACTCCAGCCTGGGTGACAGAGTAAAACTCCAACTATAAAAAAACGAAAACCTAAATGCCTACTGATAGACCAGTGGTTACATGGCACATTCATATGATAGGTTCTTAAATAGATGTTTAGAAAAATTGTCTTTGAAGAACCCAAGACATTTAATAATGGGGAAATATATATATACATATATATATATATATGTATATATATATATATTTTTTTTTTTTTTTTGAGTTGGAGTCTCACTCTGTTGCCCAGACTGGAGTGCAGTGGCTGCTTCCGGCCACCACAACCTAGACCTGCTGGTCTCTGGCAGTCCTTCTGCCTCAGTCTTCCAAGTAGCTGGAACTACAGACGCGCGCTACCACGCCTGGCTAATTTTTTGATTTATTGTAAAGATGAGGTCTCACCAAGTTGCCCAGGCGGGTCTCGAACCCATGGGCTCAGGCAATCCACTCACCTCAGCCTCCCAGAGCGCGGGATTACAGGCTGAGCCACCGAGCCTGGCTTATTATATATTTAGTGAAAAAAGCAAGATATAAAAATGGTATTTGTACTCAAATGTTAGCTGTCATTGTCTCTGCATGGTAGAATTTGAAGTGAGAATTCACTTTCATAGTTTTCTGCATTTTCTATGATTAAGTATCGTATAATCAGGAAAGGTTATTTAACAAAAACTATCAGTTTTCCATTTAATATCATCAGTGATCTCTTATAATATACTAGGCTTTTATTTTTTGTTTTTAATAAGGGTTTTGGGTTTGGGTTTTTTTTTTTAGTCAGGATCTTACTCTGTGCCCTGACTGAAGTGCAATAGCATGATCACAGCTCACTGCAGCCTTGCACACTTGTACTCAAGTGATCCTCCTGCTTTAGCCTCCTGAGTAGCTAGAACTACAGGCATGCACCACCATGCCTAGCTAATAATATACTAGGTCTTTCTACTTTCATGACTCTTATTATCGCCTACTTTTATAGTTCAGAAGAACTTTTTTCTTTCTTTCTTTCCTTTGTGTTTGTGTGTGTGTGTGTGTGTGTGTGTGTGTGTGTGTGTGTGTGTGTGTGT